TGGTATGTCACACAGGTAGCCAGACTCCTTCAGGACTGTTGTGTTTCCAGAGGAGAGGAAACCGGGGAAACACAGACTGCATTACGGATTTGGCTGGATTCTTGCTTCTTAGTAATGGTAGTTGGGCAGGGGGACAGGAGACCTAAAACTGGAGAGCCCTTGCAGTTGAACCAGCCATTCCTTTCCTCTGTGCAGCTTGGGGGAATGACAGAGACGAGGGGGAAACAACTCTCTGGCTGGCTGCGAGGAGAGAAACAGCAGCTTGTCCCTTCCAAGTCCAGCAATTCAGTACAAGGCCGTCCAGATTTTATGGCAGGCCACAGGCTTATGAAACTGTATTGCAACCCAGATAAACTGCTCTATACTAATGTTGCCTGCAGGGATAGGCTTTAGTAATATGGCAACCTGAGCAAGGACAGCAGTCGGTGTCCCTCCAAAAAATATTTCTGATTTTCACAGTAATTCCATTTGTACAATTTACACCTTTATATACCTGTATAAATATAGTTGTTGTTGTTGTTGTTATAATTATTTTGCACCCCCACAGCTCTGTGGCCAGTGTAAGGAAACTGCTTACCCTGCCCTAAATCTGGTGCTGCTGGCTGTTGTTTCCCTCCCCCATCTCCCCAGCCTACTCTCTGCTGCGCTGGCTGCCTCCGGCTATTGGCTGTGGCCTTGCAAAGCCTCCCCGCTTCCTCCACTCCTTCCAAAATATCAGGGCAGGAGGCTGTTCCTGCCTCCCCAGTCAATGAGTAAAGCTCAGCCAGCGAATGTTCCATAAACAGTGCGTCCTCTGCATGGGGGGTGGGTTTAACACCCATAAAAATAAAATATCACACCTAGGCTATCTAATTTCTGCATGGGGTTGGTGTTTCAGAGCAGAGTGTCCCTGTTCAGGGTTCCAGCCAGCCAACCAGCTATGCCCTCTTCCAGTATACTCCATTCTGCCCTGCAACAGATGTTCTGCATTACTCATTTTGTTTGGGTTGCCAGGGGTGTGGGGCTGGGGCACTGAGGATATTTCCCTGAAGTTGTTTTTTGTACTTTTGCAAACCTCAGAGTTCCATCAGGCAAGCTGTTGCCCACCCCCCACTCCTGTTCATTGGTGGCCCTATTTGAGCTGCAATGTTCTCAAGTCACCAAATATTTCCCAGGAAAACGGGCTCCTGAATTTCTCCAAAGCTTCACGGTGTTAGAAGGGGAGAGCGTTCCTGAGAAAGGGAAATTCTCTGGAGGTTCATTAGAAAGTTATTTCCTGTTGGATTACAGCCCCAAGTCGCCTTTTCGTGGGTTTTCCTTCCTGCTGAAGCTTAAGAAATTCTGTTGGATCAGAGAATCTGCAGTGAGATTTGAACCTTGGGAGATTAGATAGATATCTAGCTAATTAGATTGGGGGTGGGAGAGAGAAGGAGATTGCATATAAATATTTATTTATTTTATTGCTTTTCTATCCCACTTTTTTCTCCAGGGAGCTTGAGGTGGCACATGTGGTTCTCCTCCAATCCCCACAACAACCCTGTGAGGTAGGTTAGGCTGAGAGGCAGTGACTGGCCCAAGCCAGTGGCCTTCAAGGCCAGGCGGGAATGTGAACCCTGGTTTCCCAGGTGTTAGTCTGCCACTCTAACCACCACACAACACAGGCTCTCCTATAATCAATTAAATGATAGCTAGAAAGACAGGGAGGTGATGGATTATAGATAACTGGTCCCAGCTACACACCCAGCCTTAAAAACACCACTGACGACAACAATCAAACTCCAAAACCGCGTATGGTCAGAAGGGCACACGTAACGTCTCAAATGCTTTGCCTGGACTTTCTTTTCACAACACGGCCAGAGGCTGGTGGAAGGGAGGAGGAGGAGGCCACTCAGGAAGGCAGTGCCCAGAAAGGGTTAACCCCGTCCGTCTGTCTCTGGGTTGCTTGTTTACAGCTCTGCCCCTGTCATGTGACAGCTGGTCTGCTCTCCGCATGCAATCCAGTCCTCCTATAAATATCTAAGCCTCTTTCTTTTCTCTTCTCCCCACCCCCACCCCCCCGTTTCCCGGCATCGGATCCCAGCTGAGCCCCCGACATAATCCCCCCTGAACTCTCCAGCACCCGGCGCAGAGACAAATTGAACGGCTCGCGTCCAGCGCTGCGCCTCCTCGTTGTGGCGGTCCTCGCCTAGATGGAGGCTGTCAGTTTTATGCATGATGGGTGACGGGGAAAGGAGGTGGGGAAAGGAGAGCGGCGCAGCAGAAAGCATTGGAGGCAGGAGGAGGAGAAGAAGCAACGGCTGATGAGGCCTCCAGGCTAGCAATTAATTCTGAAGGCTCCATTTGCCCTAAAAGCCTAGTACTGCGAGGATTAAGTCCCTCTCCCTCCTCTCTCTCTCTCTCTCCTCCCCCCCCCCCTTCTCTGGGCTGGTTCCAACATCCTGTGCCTCTGCAGTAAAAGCATTGTGAGGGATTCTTGCAGAGCATCATGCACGGAGAATGTTTCAAAGACCTGATCCAGCAGAATCCCGCAGGTTGGTCATGCTCAGAATAGACAGACAGATACTGACTGGCATGCCTTAACGGAGACCTGCCTATCTCAACAGGTCAACTCTAAATATATACAGTGGTACCTCGGGTTACAGACGCTTCAGATTACAGACTCTGCTAACCCAGAAAAAGTACCTCGGGTTAAGAACTTTGCTTCAGGATGAGAACAAAACTCGTGCAGTGGGAGCATGGCACCTCCAGAACAAATTAAGTTCTTAACCTGAGGTTCTCAAGCTATTGTGGGCATGCACAATATTTTTTCCAGGGCTGCTGGAAAAATAAATACTCCAAATATGATAATAAGTGTTCACTTTAATTTGCCTTTGGGGTGTCTGTATATCTTCCTGTTAATCATTTGTTCATTCCACAGTTTCCAATGTGTTTCCACATCACTTTCCTAACTGCAAAAGGGCATGGGCTGTATCTAACGTTAGTCTTATTCAGAGCAGACCTATTGATATTCATGAACATAACCAACCGAGATCTGCTAAATTTGACTCTGAGTGAGGACAGAGGAGTAGAAATTTGATTCAGGCCACATTTAAAGATGAATTTACCTAAAATATGCTTTCTGAAATGATAAAAGAACCAAAAGCTGACCCTCACATTCCTCCAAATTTTGCAATGCCATTCTCCAGCCAGGTAATGTGTAAGAAAGCATATTGCACTGGGGTAAAATATGCATAGAAACACATATATTGGAGGAAACCTCATGCAGCAATGCATTATAGTAGGAGGAAGTGTGATGCAAGAATGTTGGGCAAAATGCTACACAAAGTTGTGTCTATTAGGAGAAATTCATACGAAAATTTAGATGAACTTTCATGAGGAGGTTTTTTTTAATCACACACAAATATGGCAAAATGATGTGAAAAATGCAGAGAACTGAACTTAAGTTTGGAAAACTCCCGTTCAGGGAGGGTATGTGTCAAAACCACCTTACCATTTGCAAGTAAAATTTGCATATGTTGCTCCACCCACTTTCCCCTCTGTTCCCGCCCACCACCAGCACATGCTCCCCCAAGCTTGCGTGAACAGAATGTGGCCCTCAAGCTGAAAAACATTCCCAGCCCCTGCATGGTCTTCCTATAGGCCCCCAAAAGGGGTTTTGCCCCTGGTAAGCATACCCACTTCACTGATGTGTCCATATGTTTAGAATTGTTTGATGTGGCTGGGAGGGGTGTGCAAAATATTACCTCTATCCCCTATCTTGTTGCAAGAGCTCCTGAATCCACCACCCCAAATTTCATCCACCCACCCACCACGTTCCCTGTGCTGGAATCTCATTTCTGAAAGGAAGCAAACTCCTTGGCTCTCCGCAGAGGACTCGATAAAAATTGTGCTGATGCGGCAGCCTCCGTGAGCCTTTGCTGACAACTTCTCCTGCTTATGGTTGGGTGGGGTGGGGGGGAGAGAGAAAGAGAAAGTAGTGGCGGCTGTTTTTGCTCCCTCAACCTTCCCACCCTTCACCGCTGCCTGGCTCCTTCCCTCCTGGCTATCCATAATCTCGACAGCTCGCTGTTACACTGTTCTATTGAACCAGGGATTCAAGCACCAGGTTTTGTTTTTTGTTTTGCCAAAGACAGAAAGGGAGCCAGCAAGGGTTGTAGTGGTGCTGGGGAGGTAGCAGGTAGTGCATTGTACCAGGATGGATCCAACAGTGAGATATACAGCAGGTTGACAGAGGTGGGAAACGAGCAGGAGGAACAGTGAGATTTATTGCTATACAGGGGGTGGGTGGGGGACTCAGTTCCCCTCACCAGAGCTGAGTTTCTTGGGCGAAACGCATGAGAAATATCTGCCCAAAGAACATGAATATACAAGAGTGGCACTCAAGCATCCCTGCCTGTCAAGGACAACCTGGAGTTGAACTTCACATTAAAGCACACACACACACACACAAAAACGTTCCTCATTGCCTCTGCAGCGCCCCTGATGTCTTAAGAACATAAGACAAGCCCTGCTTGGGAATTCTAAGAAACCCAAGAAATCAGTGGTTAAAATCAGTGCAGTTTTGAAAGGTTCTGTCCACCGCCTTGCATCAAAATGACATCCAATTATACTGGAACATAGATGGAAACTTGCTCCCTTCATCACACAAACTAGCCTGCAAGATTCGGTTAAAATGAGGGCAGCTTTGAAAGGTTCAGTCTGCCATCTTGATTCAAAATGGTGTCCAGTTGTATCCTAAGATAGACAAAAACCTGTTCCCTTGGTCACAAACCATGACATAGCCCTGTGTTTAAAGGAGTGACAATGCACCAGAGCTGGGGGAAAGTTCATTGTCCATTAATGGATCACTAACCCATTTTAGGGCAGGAGATAAGAAGCTGCCTCAGCTACAGAGTCAGATTAGTCCGTCTGGTTCCGCATTGTCTACAGTGACTGGCACCAGCGCCCATTCCCAGCCCTACCTGAAACTGAACCCTGGCTCTAGCACTGAGCTGGGACTCTTCCCCTAGAAGTAGATTCTAGATAGCTTAGTTGGTTAGAGCATGGTGCTGATAACACCAGGGTTGCAGGTTAGATCCCCATATGGGACAGCTGCATATTCCTGCATTGCAGGGGGTTGGACTAGATTATCCTCAGGGTCCTTGCCCACTCTACAATTCTGTACTTCTATGTTTAACCCTCATGGTTCTAAAGAAAGGGCTGATTTAAATAAGGACATAAGAAGCTGTCTTATACCGTTCAAACCATGAGTCCATCTTGCTCAGCATAATCTATATCAGGGGTCAGCAAACTTTTTCAGCAGGAGGCTGGTCCATTGTCCCTCAGACCTTGTGGGGGGGCCAGACTATATTGGGGGGGGGTGAACGAATTCATATGCCCCACAAATAACCCAGAGATGCATTTTAAATAAAAGGGCACATTCTACTCATGTAAAAACACGCTGATTCCTGGACCATCCGTGGGCCAGATTTAGAAGGCAATTGGGCCAGATCCAGCCCCCAGGCCTTAGTTTGCCTACCCATAATCTATACTGACTGGCAACAGCTCTCCAGGGTTTCAAGGTGGGTTTCTTTTCCCAGTCATACCTGGAGATGCTCCCAGAGATTGAACCTAGAATCTTCTGCATATGCAAAACAGATGCTCTTAACCACTGAGCTATGGCCCTTCCCACAGAGTAGGACTGTGAAGGGCCATATAAAAAGGACCAAAGGGTTGCATTCATTTCCCCACCCCTGTCCAAAAGGCAAGAGATCAGTTTTCCAGGGACTGACCCCAGAAAGCAAGAATTGCTACCCCCTTCCTTTCTGTGTAGTCATGGATAATCTGGAGATTCTAATCCACATTATTGATTGGTGCTACAGAAACAGTCAGCATTCCCCAAGCCATTAAATCACTTTCCCTATATTTGAAACTGCTTAGTTCTGAGGCCTGGTTTCAGACTTGCTTTCTCCCTGCTCCACCTGCTCCCCATCTTCCATCTCCTTCCTCTCCCTTGTTTTCAACTCCCTCTAAAATCCCCAGGCAATCTCTCCCCTTCCTTGCTCTCCCTTCTCTCCCTCTACTAGCCTGGCATGTTTCCTGCTGTGACCTTCAGCTGTTTCCTTCTGGAGAAGGTTGTGGGTTTCTTAAAGGAGCCACTGGAGTCAACACCCGCCCACCCTCCATGCACAAACAGGCAGAGCTTTATTGCTCTATTGCTCATCACCTCCCATTTTTGCAAAAGGATTATATGTCTGAAGAGGCACTTTGGGGGCAAGCACAGAGCACCCATCATTTCAGCCCAATAGGGGAGAGGTTCAAGATGATGCCAGCCAGGAAGAGTGATGGTTTGATCTGAGCTCCAAGCATTAGTTGCCAGGGATTATATTGATTAACCACTCATTTCAGTCTTCAAGCTGCTCCCCAGAGGCTATTATTTACCCCGAGACACATGTAAGGTGGATCGGTCAATTTCAGCCTGGTCAGTTTCTCATTTTTCCAATGTTCAGTTCAGTTCCCCTTATTTCTGAAGTTGTTTTTGCTTTTGTTGGCATCCATCTGTCTCGAGAGACAATGGAGTGCACCTCCTGGGGTGAAGTCAAACCACTGTGTTAGCAACACCTGTGACCTCCCTGGGGCACAAGCGCAAACCTAGGCAGTGTGTATAGATGTCCTGGGCTGCCCAGGTGACAAGACCCCCCTCTTGGCTGTGATGATGTGGTCCAAAGGAAGGCAGAGCAATATATTTGGCCCCAACTTGGCTGCAAGAGTTGCCCAAAGAAGGCGTACAAGGCACCATCCAACAGCCTTAGGGATTCCACTCCAGATTTGTGTAGCTTTTTCTTGTCCTGAAGATATCCTACAAAGCAGCTGAGGTTTAGGATCGGAGTTTTCCTTCTCCTAGATGTGCTACCTTCCCAGGTTGATGAGCCCCTATGTAGTAATTTGCTAAATAATTTTTTAAAAAATCATTGTGAAAATTTAACAAGATTTTTCATCAAGATCTTGCTGTGGATTTTCCATAAGCACACACATTTTTGAAAGCAGTTTTGGCCCATGCACATATTGTTTGCAATTTCCCCATATGTGATGCTTTTTTCAGTTTGTTACTCCCCCTAATATATACACCTTTGTACACATTGCTGGGTTGGGGAAATTGCATTGCAAAATTCAGAGACGTGCAAATCCCGAAAGATTTCAGTTCGAGAAGTGCAAAGCAGGTAGTTTCTCTTCAAAATGCAGACATAATGGAATTTCTCCCTCATCCCTAGTGACTCTGATGTCTGTCATCTGAATGTTTGAGCCCCACTATTATGTTGTGTAATGTAATGTTGTGGTTTATTTATATACCACTTTGGGGCTGAGAGCAATGAGCAGCGTATTATAATAAAAATAAATTGAAACAATATAAAATAGCAGAATCACAGAACACCCACCAGGAATGAACAGAGCTGTCAATTTCAGTTTCTCTCATTTTCTCATTTTTTCCATGCTTAGGTTCACTTTTCTCCATTTCTGAATCTGCATGTTTTTAAACGTAACACGTTAGCATTTTTGTGTTAATTTCTCCTGCTATACACATTTATTTTATTTTATTTTTGCAACTAGCAGGGAGTGACTGGTAGAAACCAAAGCATATTGTGTTTTTGAATGGATAGTGCAGTTTATGAGGTCGGAACCATCACACAAAAAAATGGGTGAAGTCACACCAAAGTCACTCCCACCTCAGTCCAGGGTTGCCATACAACAAGCCTCATGCAAAGTTTGGCAACAATATCATATCCTGAGAGGCTGCCAAACTGATGCCTAAATAGAGGCAAAGCCACTCCAAAGTCATATTTTGGCCTGCCATCTGGATTCAAAATGGTGCTCAGCACAATGGCAACTACATCCACAACCCCCACCTCAGGAACCCTGGTGCAGTTTGTTAATGCTATCATGAGTGGCAGCCAAAGCTATGCCGCAAAGTGGTCAAAGTCATGCCAAAATGATATTTTGGTTTTCCACTTTCATTCAACATGGTGACTGGCATCTAGTCCTTCTCAGCAACTGTAGCCCCCGGTTAAGAAACCCTCATGCCAAGTTTGGCAATGATATATCTAGAAAGGAGAACAGATAGACAGACAAACAAACAAACCACTTCCCAAAATATACAGTAGAGTTTGCCTATTGAACAAATTTTTGCAAAGCAGTTTTCCCAAACCTAACACAATTTCTGTTAATTTTCACTAATGTGTGCATTTTTATGCACACTTTACTCTTAATGTATGTGTTTTTTGTACACGTGACTTCGATGGGGGACTGCATGCAAAATTCTACAACCTGCAGCAATGAATTTTAATAGAATCATAGTTAGAATGTACTCCCAAGGGTCATCTAGTCCAACCCCATGCAATGCAGGAATCTCAACTATAGCATCCAAGGCAGATGGCCACCCAACATCTGTTTAAAAACCTCCAAGAAAGGAGAGTCCATCACCTCCTGAGGGAGTCTGTTCCACTGCTGAACAGCTCTTTCTGCCAGAAAGCTCTTCCTGATGTTCAGTCGAAATTGGCTTTTTATTTTATTTTATTTCATTTCATAAAATTTATACACCATTTGATTGGGGTTTTTTAAAAAACACAAAACCTCAAGGCGGCTTACAAAAAAGATGTAACAAGAAAATTATGGAAGAAAGAATTAGCAACAATAATGTAAGACTATCAAAAAGTTAAAATACCAATAAACCAAAAACTTGCATCAACTTTCTAAATATAAAAAAGGTAAAATATAAAATATGTAGAAAATATATTTCTAAATATAGTAGGCTTGTCTCAACAAAAATGTTTTTAGCAGGCACTGAAAAGAGTACAGTGGTGTCAAGAGACAGGGAGTTCCAAAGTTTGGGTGCTGCCCCGCTAAAAATAATAATCAGTTTCTCACAAATGCAGAATGGGTGTAATGTGGCATCTCTAGCGGTGCCAGTTCTGCCAATCAAAGCAGCCAAGTGGGTGTATTTGGGATTAGGCAATCTTGTGGGTAGACTGGTCCCAAGTCATTAAGGGTTCTATATACTCATAGGACTATGGTGTGGAATGATGTCTGGAAGGATGCAGAAGAACTTTCCTTTTGTCCAACCTGACATTGCTGTCTGCATGGTTCTCAGTTGTGCATCTGTGGCCTGGAGGGCAAGATTCGTAGAATTGTGGAGTCAAAGAATTGTAGAGTTGGAAGGGACCTCAGGGGTCATCTAGTCCAAACCCATGCAATGCAAGAATCTTTTGTCCAACATGGTTCTGGTCCTACCCTCTGAAGCAGGAGCAAACAAGCTTGCTCAGTTTTCCATGTGACAGCCCTTGAGATATTTGAAGGTGGCTATCATATCTCCTCTCAGTCTCCTCTTTTCCAGGCTAAACATACCAAACTCCCTCAACCGTTCCTTCTCCCCCCCCCCCCATGCTCCATCAGCAAAGAGCTGGGGAGGCAGGTGGGATCTCGGGTGGGGGGTTCCTGGGAGATGGAGTGAGCAACTCAGGGACTCTGCAGCTGTGGGCGAGAGGAGGGAACTCAGCCTCGTCACCCAGACAAAGGATCAATAACTAATTTCACTGCAGCAGCCAAGCAGGTTTTTTCCCGATAATTGTAAGCTGGCAAGTTGGGAATGAAGCTCTCGCTGCCGCTCGCCGCTAACCTGCGCCCGATCAATCCCCGCCACCGCTGGGGCAGCGAGGAAAACTATTTTTTTCTCTTTTTCTCTTTGCCCACCTCTTGTTTCCCCCTCCACTTCCTCCTTCTGTTCACTTTTGGAGAAAGTACCAGGGGCTCAGAGGACCTCCCAGCAGCCCAGAATGCAGGAGGAAGAAAAGGCCAGCCCGATGGTTGCCTGGCTGTCTTACCTGCAAACCAGCCTTCTCCAACCCATTACCCTCCAGATGTGGACTACAACTCCCATCAGGCCTTGGGCCCTCACACAGACAAGTTCGCTGGCTGAAACCCTGGAGAGACTTTGCCAGCCAATTCTCAGCTAAGTGGACCGCAGTTCCTTATAGCAAATGGAAGCTTCCTGTGCTCTTGTCCATCAGTCAACAGAAGCCTCAGAGCCAACATCTTCTCATCCTGTTATATTTGCTCAGTGTGGCTTGGGGCTATAAATGCGAGGTTTTGAATGCCTACCTCCTTCCCAGAAGCTAAGGAGCAGCTGTGATCACAGGCACAAACCCGCCTCCCACCCAGCCTGCCTGTGGGGACTTTGGGGGGATGTTTGCATTTCAGGGCCGAATGAAAGGCAGGGGCTTCCCAGAGAATCCACTTCCCCACCAACCCCTGCCAGCTACAAAAGAGCCCTTTCCCTCCAAACAAAAGGACTGTGGACAGCCCCACTTGGTGCTAGCATCACAGATTATGCTTTGGGATCCTTCCCCTCTGAGCCCTGACAGCCTCGCTCCCCTGCCGCCTCAACCCTTTATCCCTCACCTGTTTCCCTTTTAAAGATCTGGAAAAGGGAGAAAGGGCTGGAAATGCCAAATCTCTCCCTCCCCCAACCTTCTGGGTGAGGCCTCCTGCCAGTAGCTAAGGTCGTCTGCCCCCCACCAAAGCTGAAGTTAGGTCTCAAGTTTTCCTGGCCCCTTCCAGGTGGTAGACTTGAATCTCCAGGTGGGCAAGAGTGCCTTTAAAAAAATGCATACATAATAAGAAAACAGTGTGC